GCTTTGCACACAGAGTGACCCAAGGTGACTTACGTTAAAACCAATTAAGACCAACCAATAAAAATGCATGATTTTGTGCCATAAGTCGGCTGTATTTTGCACTTTTTGTTTTAAGCACCTTAATGTGCACTTGCACCTTAAAAGAAGAGTGACTTACGGTTATAGTTTTATAATGGCTTTAAGGCTGAAAGATGCTGTTCTTAAAGTGTTTTTATTGAAGGCATATTAAGAGAGAAACATCAGCTACAGTGGAGAATATACAACCAGCTTTTTAGGTGGGTTAAAAGATGAAATACTGAGTGGATTTAAAAGATTGGAAGGGAATTTTAAGATATATCAGGTTAAGGAATTGATAAAAAAGAAGACTCATTAAAAGAGTTAAAAGTTACAGCACTGAGTGAGTTTAAAAGATTTGAAGAGAATAAGTCATTTGAAATCGAGATTAAATGAAAAGATAGGTAATGTTGAGAATAAAATAGAGTGAAGATTTATTAATTTTGGGAAAGATCTGAGACACTTGAAAATGTTAAGGGGTATTTAATGGATGGGATACAAACTTTACAATATCTTAGTGAAGAACAGAAGAAAAGAAAAGAGGCTGAAAGTCTGGAATCCAAAGAGTTTGCAGCTCCCAGTATCATTCCCCAATGAGTAGAACTCCTTTGGCAAGTGCAGTCTACATCCACCTCATAGAATCTTAGAGTTGGAAGGGACCCAAGGGTCATCTAGTCCAACCCCCTGCAATGCAGGAATCTCAGCTAAAGCATCCCTGGCAGATGGCCATCCAACCTCTGCTTAAAAACCTCCAAGGAAGGAGAGTCTACCACCTCTCTCAGGAGTCTTTTCCACAGTTATTCTTTAAAAATAAATACACAGATCAGACTTTTGGGATTTAAATTGTGCTCTCTCTCTTTTTGGTTAAGTTAATATAATAAGTTTCACTTTTAAAAATAAAAGTGGTTTAAAAGGAAATCTGAATTTGTTTTAAACATGTTAAAAGTTCACTGTGCTTTCTTACCTGGAAGTAAGCTCCATTCAAATACACAGGGCTTACTTCTGAGTAGACCCACGCAGCATTGCTGGTAAAATGCTACTTGCTTTTATCAAGCTGTGACTTCAGAGAGAAGTTACTCTAAACCTTTTGTTTTTTGTTTGCTAGTTTTCTTCATGCATAGAGCTATGAATCAAGCAATCAAAAAGGCTGAGCTTTTCCTACACCTGTAATCGGAAGCGGTGCAGTCCAAAATGCTAGCACCCTGATCTTTCTGAGCAATGTCTGGATCAGTTCACAGCTTCAGCGAAGTGACATATAGGTTCAGCACATAAGCCTTTTTGTGATCCATACCTAATGCGAATCCTAATCTCTTCCTTCTGAAGCCCATAGCTACAGATCTTCTCTGGAAGGCATTGCTGAAATTATGCTTAGAAGTGATATTCCCTTCCTACCCCTTGGTCTGGAATTCTGTTTACCATTACACATTCCAGTTGCCCTTGTGCAATCCAAAGAACTAGGTAGGAGAAAACATCAACCCACTGCTGTTACATATGTTTCCAGATACATAACAGTATCAAGAATTAGGGGATTTGTGGCTGTAATATCATCTGACTTCTGTACCCAAAACTTTAAAAGCAAAGGGCAAAATGTACCTTCTTTGCTGGGGGAAAAAGAAATTACCTCCTTGGCGTCTAAGTTAGGAATAATGGCATTGATAAAATTGTATCTGTTATCTTTAAAATTGCTTTAAGCCAGAAGCTTGGATAACAAAGGACAGAAGTTGCTTTCATATTAGCATATATGTCATGTTTAATCAATCAAAAGAGAGCTGTAATTACTTTACTCTTGCCTTAGCAAACTTTAAAGAAAGGAAGCCATGAACCTATAAAAGTAAGTGTCATCCTGTTTGGATAGTTAGAGTTTTACAGGTAATTTGTTGCAGATTTTATGCAGATAGCTGATAATTATTTCCTTTCATGCTCATCTGCCATTCTGCCATCCACTTTTAACACAGACATAAGGCTTGCAGATGCATAGGCCAGAGCTGTGTGGCAGCATTACTAGTATTATTAAAATTACTTAAAGCTGATGTGTGCATTACAAAGTTGTTTATGAGCCACTGAACAATTCCTGATTTGGCAAGAAGGCCAAAGTCAACATGCATGGTTGTCAACTTATCTGCGACCTTTGACTCTACATACATAAGGGCTTAAACATTTGTTGGATTTAAAAAGAGGGCCAGCAGTTTGCAACCCATGCCATACAGAAGCGTAGGTTGGAGCTAGGCTTCTGTTTGGCATGTTCTGAGGAGATAGTTGTCAAAACTGAAAGGTCTGACGTGATTGGGGGGTGAAGTAACCCTCCAACATCCCCTCTTTCTCTTCAATTGCCATCAAATTGAAAGCTCGGGCCCTACCACTCTGCTGTCAGAAAGGTTCATTCACTTCAAAGAGACTTGCGCTGGCAAAGCACTTTACAGATCAGGCTGCTAGTGACTATTTTTCTCTGCAGTGAACCCTTGATTAGCTGCACCCCAAATGACCCAGAAAAAGGAATGCATAGTTGCACTGAAAATGACTTAAATTGTCAAAGAACATTGAATTGCCTATACCGCAACCAGATGAATATGTTTCGGAATATGCTAAAACTGATACAGCTGCTTGACTTTAGAGTTCAGCTCCCTCGCCCTACGATGGTCTGTATTTTTCTGCTTCATGGATTAAACCTCTACGGTGAGAAATTTCTGAAAGGGAGATCCAGAAAGCAAAACAGAGGAGCTTTTTAATAAAGCAGAACTTGATACAATAGTTTGGTGGCATAAAATGCAGTCATTTCCCTCCCGTTCTTCACTTTCTCTATAGAAACTAAGCAGAGAACTGTTGATAGATACTAAAACTGGATGTTTGTTTTTGAAACAGAAGCCAGTTTCTGGATTAGTTTTGTGCCAGTGTCAGCAGCTAAAGTGTACAGCATCTCTTGCTTATTTCTGTACCCGATTAATTCACTTAAATAGTAAGTAATGTCTTAAATTCACTTAAATAGTAAGTAATATGCTGCTAGCTGTATATTTCCCATACATTACACCATGGTGAAAATGTTTGTGTTTATTTAAAAATGCACAGCTCACTTTTCTTTATAAATTCAAAGCAGCTTGCAAAAAAAAACCCCATAACATACATAAAACAGAATAAACACAGTTCACGTTACAATAAGAATAGTTACTAGAAGCTGCTCCATTCGGGCAAATGGGGTAATGTCCCACCAAGCTCAGTTTGCCCTTAGCCAGGGCACACCTGCTTCCTTATACCTGCTTCCAGGCCAGGGAGTGGCTCTGGCTCTCACCTTCCTACTCCTTAGCCTCAGGGTTGCCTTTGGAGAACCCGGCAGAGAGTAGGATGGGGACAAAACTAGAATGAACTGGCTCCACTCTTACTGCTTCTGGCTCCACCTGCTGTTCACCTACCTGATTCTTCTCTATCTGTCCCAATGGGCACCAGCCTCCACCAAAAGCAGTTCAGATAAAAACTGTTCAAACTGCTAAAATCATCTCCATACATTAAAAGCAAGAGCGAGATAAAATAATTCATCCTAAGTCCAGGGAGACCGAGCTCTAACCAATGCTAAAATAAACACAGAAATTCACAACATAATTGACTGCACTGGCTGTCAGTTCGTTTCTGGGCCCAATTCTGGTTTTGACCTATAAAGACTTGAATGACTCAGGACCACAATATTTCAAGGACCACATTGTGGGACACCCTCCATGCCCCAGCAAGGCCCACGGCATGGTTGCCTGCTTGCCCTTGCTGCAGTTTACGCCTCCTGGTTCTGCATTGGTAGCTGCATCTCTGCCTGCTCTACAACTTCATCTATGATGTCGGGGGTGGGGCCAGTGGGCAGGGTTTGAGGTAAATGATCTTTGGGGCCAAATTTGAACCCCACCTCAATTTAAAGGGAGTGGAGCGGTAAGACATTTACCTTCAGATTCTAAAATTACCTAACTGTACCACGGCAGACATCTTGACCAATCAGTAAAATTAGGGAGCATTTGATTGGACAATTGATAGATGAGTGATTTGTGGGGGAGGGTACAGTGCTCAACCATTTTCAAGTGATGTTTTTCCACAAGTCCGCTCTAGCAGCAGGAATCCCTCTACTTTATGGTTCAGTCTCCTGGCCAAAGCACTATGCCAGCACTCTGTTGACTACACCGATATTCCCGTACCAAAGTTGGTGTCATTGCAACAGATGAAACACACCAGCTGGCAAAAAGAGGGCAAAGGGAAGATCACAGAGTCATACGCAGCAACTGGCTTTATAGAACTGCTGCAATGCCAACGCAAGCTAGTCATAGAAATATTCCACTTGTGTGATGGCATCGTCCAAGCACACTCCCACTCATGACTGACATGCTGATCTCGACAGTGATTTACATAAACATCTCTATAACGTGATATCGGGTATGCAGTGATCCTTTGATTCAGAACTGCTAAGCAGTTAATAAGCTAATTCTGTCTTGTGGGGGGGGGGTGTAGCTGGAGAATTTAAGGGCGAGATTGTTCTTTGAAGTCACTTGAAAAGGCTATCTACATTCCACCGCATAGAACAGCCCTGTTGGATTCAAAGTGGGGAAGACATCCCAGGGAAGACATCCAGTTTTTGCACCAAATGTGGGTGCAGCTAAATTGCTGCAGAAGAGCACACAGCGCCACATGCTTGTTAGTGAGCACCCCCTCATTTCTCCCTTAAGAAAGGGGGAAGGAGTGTATGAATGTTGTCAGCAAGCCATTTGAGACCTTTCTTAAATCTATTTTCACTGGATATTCTGAGACTAACCTGCAGTAATACAGACTGTAATCCAGGCATGGGCAAACTCGGCCCTCCAGATGTTTTGGGACTACAGTTCCCATCATCCCTGACTACTGGTCCTGTTAGCTAGGGATGATGGGAGTTGTAGTCCCAAAATGTCTGGAGGGCCGAGTTTGCCTCTGCCTGCTGTAATCAGTCACCTAGCTCAGTCAGTAGGGCATGAGATTCTTAATCTCAGGGTTGTGGGTTCAAGCCCCACATCGGGCAAAAGATTCGTTCAGTGCATGGGGTTGGACTAGACCAGTGGGTGATGCTGTCCCCTAGCGGGTGCTGGAGCAATCTAGGGGAACGGTAGTAGCCTTGGGTGCAGTTGGGGAATAAAAATAAGGGGGAGATGGAATCATAAAGAAAAGAAAAGAAAAGAGAAAAATTTGAAAAACCATTTGTATATGTTTCATCTGTTGTGTAATGAAGCTTACCAGCAGGTCAGGCGCTGTTGCAGGATGGCGACAATGCCTCACCTGGATCTGGTTGTCATGCTGCAGGTGAGGGGTTTCCCTAGGCTTTCTGACTTCACCCTGACCCAGGATGTGGATCGCAGCTTGCCTGCCTATTTGGCCAATGGCAGGCAGACTATAGCACCAGCACCACCCGTTTGCTTAAAGAAGGTAGATTTCCAGGAGGGCACAAAGTATTATTTTTTTTCTGAAAAGGAGGTGGTAGACCAATAAGTTTGGGGACCTCTGGACTAGACCCTCACGGTCCCTCCCAACTCTATGATTCCAAGAAGCTCAGCTGGTAGAAGCCCAGAACCAGGAAATATATGCTTTTCATGTTGCTCTTGCATAAAGATCACATTACTTTATCGCTTGTTCTCTTTCTTTCTCTCTCTCCCTCTCTTTCTCTCCCAAATGCCACTGATTGTGAAAGAAAGTTCCCTGAGGTTCTGTAATAATTTAAACCATAAATTCATTTGTCATAAACTTATGTAGTACAAGGTTTCCTAGGAACAATATTAAATTGTGATTCATTGTTTTGAAACATAAGCAAATATATGTATAACTACATGAAACGAAGCAGTTATGGCAAATTAGGGACAAATGTTACATGTCTTTACAGTGGTTAAATAATCAATCTTGGTGGAATTTACCACAATACAAGAACTGCAACACTGTAAGCCAGAATTTTTCCCCTTTGCCTTTCAGTGTTTTGACAACCGAGCAGATATAGCTTACTAGTGGCCTCATACTAGAAAAGGTCCTGTCTAGTGACATTTAACCTTTAACCTTTCAAGTGGAGGAACATGGAATAGAACTTCACCAGATGACCAGGGTGAGCAAGGAACCTATATGGGGTGGGGGAGAGGAAACCCACTGGCTCAGACTCTTTAAGGGGGCTTTAGGTGATCAGCATCACGTTGAACGAGACCTTGAGGCACAGTTGAACCAAGAACTAATATATCTATTGCCTCTGTCAGAAGCAGTGACACAACATTCAACCCTTGCTAAATCTTATTTATACGCTTCTTTATGAAATTGCTTTTTTATGTGGTGAGTGAGTGAGTGTTGGTCAGTCTTAGCAAAAAATATTCTGGAATTCATATTGCAGATCCATGCACAATTACATGGTGGCAAGTCCCACTGATTTAAATAGAGGTTACTTCCAAGGAAATCTGCGGAGAACTGCATCCCTGATGACCTTTTCTTTTATTATGTATGAAAGTTGAAAGAGTTTCTGGCTGAGGCTGTATTTTAGCCAAAGGGTATTTTTTTTGTAGTTAAAGGGAAGCCCAACCACTTAATGTGTTGTCCCCCCTTGTAGTCTTCCTCTACCATGCCACTGCCCTAGCTCCTGACCTGCACATAGAACTAGGGTGGTTGGAGTGTTGGGTTAGGATGCAGGAGACCAGATTTTGAATCCCAGTTTGCCATGAAGTTTACTGGGTGACCTCAGATCTTTCTCTCTCTCTCTTACCTCACAGGATTATTGTAGGCTAAGAATGGGGAGAGGAGTATCATGTTTCCAGCAGGGGTGCCAACTTGAATAAAATATGGGGGGCAGGTAAGCCCCACCCCGCATAATCAATTAAAAGACATGGCACACACAAACACCATTTGAATGGCAATGCCCATCAACTTGGGGGGGCAGCCCCCTCAAATATTTTATTGGGAGGACTGAAGGGATCTCAGCCCCTAGGAGTTGGTTCCTATGTTTCTCACCTTGAGCTCCTTAGAGGGAAGGTTGGATATGAATACTGTATAATAACCACCACATACATAGTGCCTGCTGAAAAATAATTCATCCTGAACATGTAGAGTGATCAAATGTGTTCATAGTAAGGGCTCCTGTATTTAGCTTGACTGATGAAGCTTTCACTAATTGATCGTGCATTTAGCATTTTTAAAGACAGAAGTTATTTGTCTTAACTAGGCTTGTTAGCACATCTTACAGACTGGGAGACATTATCAGAACACATTGCCGTATGGAATGGCCATATTATCATTTTGATTTAAAAGCTGTCTGCAGTAATGAGCTCAATATAACCTTTTGCCCCACAGGTTTTCTACAAAGGAATCTATCTGGCCAAGGGTTTAATGCAGATCACACTGCCACACAATAGAGTCTGACTCAATACACTTTCCCTTCAAACTGTTGGGGTGGGGGAAAACAAAAGACTTGGTAAATCACACCTCACTTATTTCTTAAGTGGTACATGTGGTTTAACTTTGCACCCACTTTTCCACTGGAAGATCTAATGTTGGCACCCAGAGACACCTGTATTATATTAGCAAAACAATTTGGACACCCGAATGATGGAAAGAAAGAGGTGGATTATGGGTTAGATTACAGATTAGTAACAGAATGCTCTGGTGTGGTATGCTGTGGTGTGGTGTGTGTGTGTGTGTGCTTCGTAAAAACAAAACAAAAAGCCAAATATGCAAACCTGGCAAAACTCAGTCTTTTTCATTTGCTTTCCCATGCTGCAAAGCATTTGGTGAAATGAAAAATCTGAAAAAGAAAAGACTTTGCAGGGCAGTCAAAAGTGCAAGCCAACTTGCCTTGCTTTTATGTGTTCAGCAGCACCTGAAAACCTCATGTCCACCCATCTGACAAGGGCATTTTTGTCATTCCACAGTAGCAAAACAAGTGCAGGATTTGACGTGGTCTGCACATATGGCCTGAAAGGGCACCAAGGTTTGCCGGAGGGTCACCCTCTTTGGGCTCTGGATCAATTTCATGGTCTCAGCTGTCCAGATGATTTGCAGAGAACACCAGCAGAGTATCGCAACCTGCTGGGAATCATCATCGAAATAGGTTTTTAAAAACAGAAACCAAAGAAAAAAACCACCACCCTGGCAGTTTCACTCCATGTCTCACCGTGTTTGAAACTTTGTCTCAACGGCACCAGGTACTTTTGTGCTCTACTTCGTTTCATATACTTCTTCAGCTGTCCATGAATTACTCTGGCACTCTCTTATCTCTGTTTTCCAATATATGCTTAATAGCCCTGTGCAATATTAAGAAAACAGAGCGAAAGAGAATTGGATTTTTGAAATAGCTGCTTTCACTTTGATCCGAGCATGGATATATGGCTGTATTAGCCTGAATCTATACTTAGGGTGTGTGGACTCATTTTGTTCTGCATCTTATGGTTCAATTGCGTTGTTAGGCATTGCCATTCATGAAACATTCTTACCTGATTTTATCCTATGTGAACTGCGTTGTAAGTGGGCAGGTGTATTCTAAGTGATGTGCACCATTGTGTTTGGACTGAATGCAACTGAAGCATTTACACCTGCACATGGAACTATTTCAATAAAGGCCATGCTGCTATATATTACAGTGGTGAGCCACTCTAAGGTGATAGAGAGGCTGGAAAGAAATATGATAAATACATAAAAAATATTCTATGTTGCTGGTAGTATAAGATGGCATTTTGTGAGAAAGAGGAGGCATTCTGAGTGTTTTACCTCCTCTGCTGATGAATAAAGGCTATGATCCATAAGCTAAAACTAGGTTAAAACACCTGATAGCTTCTCTGTGTCTGGGTAGGCTTGGCTGAACAAAAGTACATCAATTGTGGTTTTCTTGCCTGATACCAATAGGCAGTGAGTTCCAAAGCGCATGTGTTGTTACACTAAAAGAGTGCAGAATGAGTACTATGTGGCACATGTAACAGTGCCAGTTCAGTAGAGTGAAGCGGTTGAGTGGTGATTTCACAAGAACACTGGTCCAAAGCTGTCAAGGGCTTTATACAGTATGCTAATAGTAACACCTTGTACTTGGCCAAGTAGCAGATTGGCAACTAGTGCCATTCTCTGAGCAGAGGGCTTAGATGCTGAGAGGGTCTTGTGTCAGCCAGCAATCATGCTGCAGCATTCTGCACTAACTGCAGTTTCCAGATCAAGCAGAAGGGAAGTCCACCGCAGTAAGCCAACCTTGAAATAATCAGTGCATGAGCTGCCATGGGCAAGTTCTCCCAGTGTAGGAACGGTCACAGTTTTCATACTAGTCACAAGTGGTAAAAGGCATTTCTAGTAACTGATGCTACCCAGACCTCCAGGGACAAAGCTGGATACAGAAGCACCTGCAGGAAGGATTAGAACAATGACAATACAGTTCCCCACAATTCTCTGGAACCAGTCCAGGAGGAGACCACAGTCAATGGTATCAAAAGTCAAAGAGAAATCCAGAAGCAAGAACAAGATGATACTCCCCCCTGTCCTGCTCTCTCCAAAGGTTATCCATCAGGGTAACCAAGATCAACTCAGTCCCATGGCTAGGCTTGAACCCAGATTGGATTGGTTCTAAATAATCCCACAAGGGCTACACATTCAATGTGTAAGAACACAAGAAGAGCCCAGCTGGTTCATCCCAAAGACCTATCCAGTTCAGCATCCTGTTCTCACAGTGGACCACCAGATGCTTATGGGAAGCCCACATGTGGGACAAGAGCACAACAACACTCCCCACATGTGCTCTTGAGCAACTGGTATTTAGAGGCAAGCTGCCTCTGAGGTGGAGTTGGCTCAAACTCAGGACAAAAGGGAGACATGTGCTTAAGAAGAAAGCACGCTTGGCAAACCCTCACTGTGATCAACTCCCCGCCAGGAAACCTATGTCCCCACTGTGGAAGGACGTGTGGATCCAGAATTGGCCTCCGCAGTCACTTATGGACACATTGTTAAAACCGTGTTTATGGAAGACAATCTTACTCGGCTACGAGTGATTGCCAAAGAAGTGCACAGCCATCATGGCTAGTTAGTCAT